CACACACACACACAGCACAAATGCCAAACTCAAGGCCCAGGGGAAAGATCTGGCCCACCACACATTTCTTTTGGCCTCCGAAAGCAACTCAGGTGTGTCAACTTGCATGGTCGTTGCTAAAATCTGGACCAAAATGTCAAATTGTCATGTGAACGTTGAGGTTTTGTAATAATTTTGTTACCCTATTTACATACAACAATAATTGAACAGGGCGGCCCAGTGGGCCAGTGTTTAGCGCATTGACCTCACAGTGCAGTGGTGATGGGTTCAATCCTGTGTGGAGTTTGCATGTTCTCCCCGTGTTTACGTGGGTTTTCTCCGGGTAGTCCTGTTTCCTCCCACATTCCAAAAAACACTCAATTGTCCCAGGGGGTGTGGGTGTGAGCGCGGATGGTTGTTTGTCTCTGTGTGCCCTGCAATTGGCTGGCAACCGTTTCAGGGTGCCGCCCCACCTACTGGCAGAAGACAGCTGGGATATAGCGGATCAGAAAATGGATGGATGGATGGAATAATTGAGCAAACTATTTTACTTGACTTGATTGATTCCCAAACTATTCGTCCATTAATTTGTTGTGTACAACTAATAATGCGATGAAACATTTTTCTGGTTTCACTGTCATAACGTCCCTCTGGGGAAGACATAACTGCGACAAAAATGAGTTTGACACCTCTGATATTTTGAATATAATTTGCGACATTGCCACATCGTGCAACTGCAATTCAGTTGCACTCAGTGTGCTGCACTGTGACTGTTTTCCGAGGCATCGCACGCTCCCCTCCCATTCATTTTCATGTTATATATCAGCAGCTTTTGCTTGAACTATTTCCATCTGTATTGCCTGATGCGCTAGGCCAGGGGTGTCAAACTCATTTTCGTCCAGCCACATACTGGTTCGGGTTTTCCTCAGAAAGCTGTGATGACTGAACCCAAATAAATGCATCATCGCCTTCGATTGCATTACACAATATGTTGATTAATAACTAGTTTTAAAGTCAAAAGCCAGTTTAACTTGTTCAAATTGTATTACATTTATTTTAAAAGGGGCCACGGCAATGAAAAATGTTTGCATTAGATCAATGTTTTGAAGAGTGAAGCCAGTTTGCAGTTTGGGAATTTTTGCAAGAAACATGAAGCGGATGTTTTTTTTTTTTATAGATAATTGCAAATCACAAATTGGGATTTAAGGGACTGGAAGTAATGTTTTATTTGTCCACAAGCCCAGAATCGGCTACTGAGGCTTTTTCTTCCAGGTCTAATTTATTATTTAAGGCATTGCAACTAAAGTAATGGCTGTTTTTAAAATGTACAGATACTGGTGTTAAAATGTAACAAGTAAAAATAAAATCTAGTTTAATAAATAAGTTCTCAGTCAAGTGCATAGTATCAGAAAAACTAATGAAGTACAGTCACAAAGTACTGTGTATGTATACAGTTCAGAGATTGTGGATTCGAATCCAGGCTCTGGCCTTCCTGTGTTGTGTTCTCTCTGAGCCTGTGTGAGTTTTCTCCGAGTACTCTGGGTTGCTCCCAAATTACAAAAACATCCATTGTAGGTCAAGTGAAGACTCCAAATCCCAGGTGTCAAACTCAAGATGCGGGGGCCTCATCCGGCCCGCCACATTTTATGTGGCCCACCAAAGCAAATTATGCACGTCAACTTAAGTTTTTTTTTTTTTTTCGTATTCAAAAACATTGCGATGTTGCATTTTTTGTTCCCAATCCCCCTTTTAAAATAAATGTAATCGTATATGAGGAAACAGATTTTACTGGCCTCTGATTTTAACACAAGTTGTTCATATATTTATAGTATTTGGGTTCACAGTCATAACGACAATCTGAAAGAACATTTTTGAATTGACTTCCCCTTTAATGATCCATGCTTCACGTTCTTCAATGGCATGCCTGCCCCTGTTTTTTCTGCCTTATTGCTAACAAAGCACTCAATCAAACTCACTCTCGGTGGACTTGTCCTAGTACTGTAATACCCTATGAGTACTTTGACTGTTAAGCTCGTAGGTCACAGTTTTAGTCCCGCTGCAGGCAAAATCTAACGAGCAAATAATTGTTGGTGAGATGCTAATCTGTTCCCTTGCTACTGTCAAGAAGCCTTTGAGCAAATCACTGGCCTCACCCCATGGCTGAAGTGGTGCAGCACTGTTATGGGCTCTCTGATGTCTTTCTTTACATGTTTGTCTTTGATGTAATCTGGTTTTCTTTGTGATATCCATCCCTCCATCCATTCTATGTACTGCTTCTCATTAGGGTCACAGGTGTGGTGGAGTCTATCCCATCTGACTTTGGGCGTGGCAGAGTACACCCTGAACTGGTGTCCAGCAAATCACTGTCTTTGTGATATGCAACCCAACATACACTGCAGAGTGTGAGTTGAATTTCCCCTTTGGCACAAGCTTTGTTTGAGCTCTGATTCTACATACTCATGAAATGGGAACATCTAAATCTAAACTGACTAACAGCTTTCGATGATCCTACTTTATTTGGAACTACATATTAAATTCACCCTTAGGTCATCATACCAACATGTATTTAATGTGGACAAATTATTTCACACCATAAGTAACTTTTTTGTCCTTTGTGTTTCTTAGTGTTAGTCGAATTTTATCTGTTCTTTTCAAAGTCACAGGACATCCTAAAAGTCTTCCAAGGAGGTGTTAACTTGTAATTTTGCATTCGAGCGTTTCACCTCGGTCGGCTCTGGTGCCAGGAAGGTGTCCACTGTGCGTTACTTTTCCCAGTTGTGCGTCATGTTTGTTTCCAAGTTTGATCAGATGACGTAAATGAATCCCGTTAGTGTTTAGTATGTGTATTCATTGACTTGGCTTTTGACAATATTGTTGGTTGGTGATTGTTAGACCTAGAGTCATACTGGACCATGTAATCACTGCACCAGCAGCAACTGAAAATGGAGATGTCGTATGTCGCTGGTCGCCCCGATCCAAAACTGTTCTTTCACACCAAAGTCATCCAAGTGTGTCCTTGTTTTCTGTAGTAGAACAGAAACTGGCCTTCGCCTAACTGTTGCCACAAAGTTGGAAGCATACAATTGTCCTGAAGGTCTGACCAATTCCTTAATTAGGAAATGTGTCTTGATCCCATACCAAGAGTAGCTTTACAATGATAGGCTGCGTGTTTGTAAAGTGGGTATTAAAATTAAAATGTTTTGATTATGTGGAGCCACGAGTTGACATTTTTAACATTGTTTCTCTTTTACCTTGAGAAGTGAAATGGATCACATTAGGTGATACAAATTGCGCTTACAAAGGCTGGAGGCAAAATATAGTTGCCAAGGACAGCACAATTCTTTCAGGAACTCTTTCCTGTTGCTACAAAGTTTCTTCCCATGTGATTTACTCACTACTTCATGCAGTTAACCATTTGGACTGAAACAAGGTGGGCTTTGTGAAAGTCTTGAGCAAGGAGGCACCCACATCCACACAGTACTGTACACACCAATCAAACTGAAAGGGGGCAACAGAGTATGGGCAGTCTGGGAGAGGAGATGTTTTTCCCCCTTATGGTGTGGGTGTGAGGATCTTGGTGTGATATGTCAGGCTGGCTGTTCAGTCACTGTGAAACACAGCAGGTAGGTGAGACACAGAGCTAAATCATTAATCATATTCTTTTAGTGAAGGATATATATATATATATGTTCCCTCTAATTTTCCATCCGTCCAAGTCTAAGCATTCACAAAAACTCCCTGAGCAATTCATTGGACCACGGTGAGCAACATCAGACATGCACACAGAGGCCAAACTAGTATCACACCTGTTCAAAACCTGCGGTCATAAGAAAGTACGTGACATAGTAAGATATGAAAACATTCAAATTGTCTTTGAGTCAAAATAGAAAATATCATCGGATGGAGATTCATGACATGAATAAAATTGGCCCAAGTTTGTTACTTTTATTTAAGCACACAGGTTATTTTAAGCATGACTAAGTTAGTCTATATAACGATGGTCACACATTGTCCACTCATAAATAATGGAAAATGTGGCATTTAATAAAACGCAAATCATACCAGTCACCTGACCTCTAAGCGTGCGAAAGAGCCTCATTCAAGGGGCTCGTAAACTAATATATGTCCATATTTGGACTTCCTTAAGGGAGCCGTCCGCGTGTCGCCGGCAGCCTCTCGTCTCTCTGTGGTGTGTCAATGAATGAGTGTCAATATATGCATCAAACTGTCAAAGAACAACTGAGTGCGCACCCTTGGTCGCACAACTGAAACTCGTGGAAGTGGTAATAAATAGTCTGCTGTCCTGTTTGTAGATTAAAATGGTGAAGGAAATTAAGGAATGATTGTAGAAATAAAGTCTGCTTGTGGTGCCTGCCAGCTGTCACCATGAGGGTGAAAAAAGTGCGCAATTGCTCACGCGCGCGGCTTAGAGGGAACATTGGATGGGGGTGTTGTTAAAGGATATTATTTAAATCCAGTTGGAAAAGGGCATGAGCAGAAAGAGGTTAATGAGCTGGTCACGAGCAGCAAGAGGTGCTGCAGTGTCTCTCCAGGACCAAAGGCATCCCCCATGCCCATGAATTGTGCTCACAGCGAATCGGCCGTAGACGGGGCCCTGCGGCCACTCACCAATCAGGTGGTCGTGGTCACGTTCACCCAAGTCCCCCCACTTTCTCACTTTAGACACTTAGTCACGCCCCCTGGAGAGCTTTAAAAGAAAGGCAAGGGTGCCGCTTCCAGAGAGTTCCACCCTCCCTCATTGAGTCCGAGTTGAGGCCAGCTTTCTTTTTTCTTTTTTTTTAACACCAAACCACTTAAATCACAATTGAGTTAATTAGACAATTTTTGGACGTTTTCTTTGTGTTCTTTCTGAGCAGTGTGTGACACCATTCTGGTTGAGTGCATTTCAACTCTCACCTCTTCTTTTGGACGGACTCAATCATCCTGCGTGCTCTGTGACCTGTAAGAAAAGCATCACTCTCTTCCATCTTCCCATCATCGCAAAGGTCTGAGACGTTCTGTGTAACACAGAATTGGGTGTGTATCCTCTTTTCTCCATTTTAGTTACCGTGTGCATGAGGTTCATTTACATTATAATGCATGGATGCTTGCTTGCCTTACATTTCTTTTCAAGTGCTTTAAATGGTTGAGTGAGACTGTTGGGGCCACATAACTTGGGGACCTCACCGTGGTGTACAGTTTGTCTTTGTTTTGTGAATTTTTAGGATTGTGATTCATTTGCCACTGCTACTCTAGAAGACAAGAACTGATGAGATTCACGACTGGGGGTTTGATAGCCCGGAAGAATAAGCGTATTTGATGGAACACAAACAATTGGAAAAGGTTTTACAAATGTAGGATGTAAACTTGCATGTTAGTCACAAGTGTACATTTTTATATCAGTTCAGTCATCAGGAATGTGGTATTTCCTAGACGGGGAAACTAAGGACCTCTCATTCGAAGCAGGAATTATTGTCATATCAAGATAACAGAGCTGTCATGATTTTAAATCAGCGTCTTTAGACTCGACGAAAGATTTTTGGGCTGGATATATTCCAAACAACGTGTCATATCAATTAGGAAAAAGGGTATGCAAAGGCAGTTTTCAGGCCATATATTGTACAAAGGCAAATTTTTGACTACAATATAGTTGGCTCTCAATGTGTTCTGTCTCTGAAGGACAATGTTGGTGTTTAGGAAAACACAGGTCACATTTTACTGAGCCTTTAACAGCAAGCAGAAGGTTATATTTTTATTATAATCAGCACAAATGAACCTAGTGAAGCTTTACATGCAGTTTGGCCGTATGTGCTCATAGTAGTGGATAATAACCCATCTATAAGATCGCAGGCATGATGGAGACATGGTGAGCGGCAGCGGAAAAGTACTGAGAGGCAGGGAAATGGAGACATGCGGCTAGGGAGGGAGGTATTCATAGATAGTAATAGCTGAGCTTTGCCAAGTCACACTTCTGCACCTGTATCAGAGGACACTGCTTATTTAGACCGAGAGTCTCCTCATGTCTGAAGTTACTCTAGTTACACTGGCAATAAATAAATGCTGTGCCAGCTGTCTATCAGCCAAATGCTGCCGAAGGTTACATTGAGCCCTCTGATGCAACAACTTCAAATGTCAGTAGGTAAAGTCAAACACACAGTGTGTGTGTGTGTGTGTGTGTGTGTGTGTGTGTGTGTGTGTGTGTGTGTGTGCGTGTGTGTGTGCGTGTGCGTGTGCGTGTGTGTGTGTGTGTGATATAATGTTTGTAAATATACTGTATACAGTATATAGATGTCTCTATTTCTTTATATATATATATATGAATATGTATATATGTATGTATGTATATGTATTTAACAGAAGCAGAAGGTTATATTTTTCTTATAATCAGCACAAATTAACCTAGTGAAGCTTTGCATGCAGTTTGGCCGTATGTGCTCATTGTAGTATATATATATATATATATATATATATATACATACATATATATATATTATGTGTATATGTATGTATGTTCCACAAACACAACATATTGTCAAGACACAGTACATTTCAAACTCAGACAGAAAAAAACCCTCCATCAATGTATTCAACTTTAATAACCACAAATATTTAAACAATGTGAGCTTTGTAACAATCTATAAAAGCTGACGCAAGAAAAATGATGGGGGTGAAAAAAATTATTTTTACATCAAGGGTCTGTATCATGTAAAATCAACAGTTTTTTTTTTTTTTTTGCTTTCGACCATGTAAAAAAGCTGATTCCTCACCAAGAAAACCCCCAGAATTGTATAAATGTGATCCTGCCAAAGTTCCATTTTTCTAATATGTACAGAGAGTATGCAGTATCATACTGAGGTGACTTTTTACTCCCATTGAAACTGTGAAAGAGGACATATGTTTTGTTACAGGAGCGATGTGATGTGCTTCTGTCAGATAAACATTCAGAGCCAAACAACAATTTGGGGCCAGACTGTGTGAGTGCAATTTAGAGGTATCGAGGTCATACAATAAAGTGTGAATTACCTCATGTGTATGGCGGAGCGTTACACGTGAGAGTGCCCACACCGCCCTGAATGTATACATTCGTAAGCAGGGAATGTTCACCGTATTTCTTATTGTGAAAGTGAAGAAAAACAGTTTGGCCCAAAGATGAGCACTGTTTCAATTTTTACCCCAAATCAATCATGTTTCAACTAGCCAACATTCAGAAGAAATATGGGCCTTTGAATTTGAAGTGCAATGAATGGTTGAGGTTTTATTGGGGTTTTTTTTTACTACCTCTGTGGTTTACAACACTCCTTAATGGTAAATTTATAGCAGTTTTAGGCATTTTCGGTAATTTATAGCTCACAAAAGATACAATTGTTTTTCTTTGTTCATCTGTATGTGTTAAAAAAAGAGGGAGGGAAACAAGAATATCTCAGCCACCTGACACCCAGGGTCCCCTGGCTGATAAGCTTATCCGACACACATGCTCAACAAGACTAAATGTGACATGAAAACCTCCATTTTGACGTCAGCTAAAAAAATCGAGAAATAATTTGGCATTCTTTCAGACGTCTTCATGATTTGTTAGAGAATGAAAAAAAATTGCAGTTATCCAACTTATGTTGAATCCAGTCATAAAAATCTACACAACCTATTGATCAAAGAGTGCACCGAACAGCAAATGAAATGTAAGCGAATCACTTTAGATCAGGGTCGCCCAAGTCCGATCAGCAAGAGCCCCCACCGAGACTGTTTCATGTTTCCCGCATCCAATGTGCCTGATTCAAATGATCCGGTTGATTATCAGCTTGTTGATGAGCTGATCATTTGTTGGAGGAGGGAGACAAGCTTGAGGACTGGACTTGGGTACCGCTGCCTTAGATACTTCCAGTAATTCTTTTCTGTCTTGTATTTCGAGAAGACTGTAACATGAGTATTTCCAGAAATGGAAGATGATGCACAATCACTGTGTAGCGCGGGAGGAAGCTATAAGGGGAGTCCCCCTCAACTTCAAAATTGGTCTATTCCCCACGAAGGAATCTCGGTCTCACTTGAGTGTGAAATATCTTGCATACGTATAAGGAGGGGGCTCTCGAAAATAACCGGCCATCTGCAAACACCTAAATGTGCACTTTGTTTGAATTCAAATAACCGCCAAGGCAAACAACATTTTTAATATTAGGATTCACTGGTGAACTTGTGAAAACCTTCACACAATTACCACACGTTAGTCCAAAGTGAACAAGACGCTCCAGCAAACAACGTTGTGTCTAGGCGGTTTGTTTACTCTTGCGTTCAAATTCCTCGACTAGTATAAATAAATACATCCAATTTAAAGACGCCACTAATGCGGTAATATTTGATTATGGCGCGTTAGCTGTACATTCAGTAATTCAAATGTTTGACAGAAAGGTGATTGTGTCATCTCAATGACAGTAACCTGTTCTGGGTTGTGTGTTACAAGCTAATGAAAAATCGCAGCAGCCGAGAGGGAATTTTCCTTCCCTTGTACCGAGATAACACTGCTCAGGAACACTCGAGACATGAGATGTTTTTGCTGCACCTTCCGCCGATGAGTTTTAGAAGTGGCAAGCCAAGTATACCCTCGCTTATGCAAGACACAGTCAACCTTTGAATGTGCTTCCAATGTGTTTGTACTAACACTTTGACTAAATCTCGGCCTGTCAAGATAAAAACACATTTTTCAGAATGAAATATTTTCCCAGAAACTATTACAATGAACGATAGTATTTAAAAACATTTTTTTACATATAAAATAATAAAAGTACATCCGTTTGAAGAGCAATTATCTTTACATTTTCAAGAATGTTGAACATTTTTACTGAAATGTAGAACAATAAAATATCTTTGACCCAAAATAATAGATAAATTAAAAGAACTCAGGCTCCGTTAAAAAAAAAAAATCACTTAAACAAATATTAATACAACACAGCATAGTATCTGTATTGACAAAGTAAATTGAGATGTTTTTGATCTCTTTCCCTGATTGTACATGGCTGGAATGAATGTTTGGGAAATACGCATTTTTAAAGCAATTTCTACCGCCTGATTAGTCAGCAGTTAGTGTTTTTTTTTTCATACATATTAGTAATCAGAAATAGCATTGGTGCCAATTGGCTGCCATTGGCGATACTGAACACTACTGCGATTATATTCATAAATGAGTTGTGAGTACCCGTGATCCGAAGGGACACATGCAAACCAAAGTGAAACAGTCAAACCGAACCGTTAAAATGTATTTCAAAATCCGTTCCACCCCTAGCATGTATGTGTGTGTGCCATCATGCACAAATAATACAATCACCAGTACACAGCGACTCCTATTTACAAAGACTCGCTCATACTTCCTAGAAATGTTCTCGCATGTATTCCGAGGAAGACCGTACTTGGGCTGTTCACGAGACTCTACTCTGCGTTCTCCATATTGAGAAACGGCCATTGACATTGCATTGTCAAAGAGAGCAGGCCATTTTCAACACTTTAGATTGGCCAGTCATTTGTAAAAATATCACAGTCGCGTTGGGACTGAACAACGGTATCAATTTGTGAAACAATTTGTAATTGAACAAATTTGGAGGTTTTTGGGCCAGCGCCAGTGCTATACGGTTACACGATATGGACTCTGCAATGTGTGCTATGATAAAGAGCTGTGTGCTATAGCGCACACACATACACACTTGTAGATCACACAAGCCATATGAGTGAATTTTCAGGCATTTGTTGACTTTGGCACCAGTCCCAGTCCCCCCTCCATTCCTTCTATGCCTTCACATAAACACACGCACACTCACATACGCATACACATACATACACGCACACACATACCCCTCTTGGCTTGCATGTTTCAGTCCCTTCCCTTGACAAACATTTCCTCCCCCCGCCACCCATACCCATATGCAAGTGAATGTCCATACATTCTTTCAGCAGCTCGAATTTGATTCTGGTCTTATAATGCATTGATTTTTTTATTGATTTGTTTTTAACTTAGCAGGAATTATGTCTTGTTTTTCCTCCTTTAAAAATTACTGGTTGAATTTATGTCAAAAGTAAGGGGGGGGGGGGAATTATGTTTTCCAAGGCACTACTCCTCCTTTTATAATTCTGATAGCTCGCTGACGTTGTCTGGTGCCTGATGACGGTTGCATAAATGTTTCTGAAATTGACTACAGAAGAAGCGGACCATAAAAGAAATGTACATAGTCTCATCTCGTGTACTGATCTCCCTTGAGTTGTTTCCACTTCCTGTGTTTGGGGTCAAAACTTGGGCCATCTAACCACACAATAATTGGAAAACAAACTTCCAGGATTTTGTAAGTTCAGCCATAGACATAGTGAGACCACCCGTGCCTCAGTTTTTTTTCCTCCTTTGTTAGCCCAACACGTACCACCTTGTTGTCCCCCCCCCACTACTTTTTACCCCATGCTCCTGTCTGCCAAGAAAGTTGTCAAGTCGTTTGAACATGAACATCCAGCCGCTCACTGTCCTTCCACTGTTCCCACAACCTTTCCCTTTTCACAGTATAATTTTTTTCCCCCAAGTTAAGACGTCTGTTTGAAAAAGAATGACACGAGTGAACACACATGCATTTTTTTTTGTGTGTGTGTTTATGCGTCTTTTCCTGTTCAACAGAGACAATAGCCAACCATGGCTTTGAACGTGCCGGGTCTGGTGGTTATGGCGGCCTTCTACCTGCTGATCCTGGGAACGGGCATTTGGGCATCCATGCGCTCCAGGAGGGAGGAGAAAAAGTGCAAAGGAGATGGAATGGAGATCACACTACTCGCCGGACGGAACATCAACTTGCTCGTGGGAGTCTTCACCCTTACGGGTAAAAAAAATGTGCTGGTTTGTTTGTATGAAGAAAACAAATAACAGCTGACTGATGTTTTTTTTTTCCCAAAATAAATGTCTTTGCAGCCACATGGGTAGGAGGAGGTTTTATCCTGGGTATAGCTGAAGCCACATACAATCCAACATTAGGAGCAGTGTGGGCTCTCATGCCGGTGCCCTACGTTGTTACATTCTTCTTGGGTGAGTGCTCCTTGTTACACAGAGGCTGAAGCCGAGAACTAAATACTCAGTCAGTCCCCACCTACCCATCACACGCTTTTTTTTTCTCTCGCTAGACCAAATGATTATACATAAGTGTAAAGGGTTTGAAATTGAGACCCCGGCAAGTAGCAGGAAATTCCCGTAAAATTTAGATGCTGACAGGAGTGTGTCCTACTGTACATTATGTAACCGTTACAATGCACCTACTTAAATGGAACTTGATCTGCAGGCTTTTTAGGGGGGGTGGGCTCTTCAGGATCCATCAACATCCTTTGTTTTATAGCATGCTGCCATACGACAGTTAACTACAAATCAACACAAATGACCTTATACAACAGTTAAAAAAAAAAAGACAAATTGCTTTTCTGTTTTTCAGACCAATAATAGTGTCGGCGACAACGGACAGATCCTCAATATCCCCACCATCAGCTAGCTGACTGCACAAAACTATAAAAGTGTCTCTCAGGTTAAAAATACGATGACGAGGAATCAGTTTAGGATGGTAATATGAGGCAACAGGTGCAAAGTGATGACTTGAAGCAAAGCGACCTCTAATCGCTGCGAGAGACGCATGCGCATACACATTTGCAACAGGTGACGTGACCAGCGCGCTGGGCCAATATCACAATGGCCGGCAGAGTGTGAGAGTTCAGCAGTACAGAAATCAGCAAATATAACGTGCCGCTCTTGGCTACGTGGACTCCTGTGTTCAGCTGATAGCATTTTATTATCTCCAGAGAACACTCGTTTTCCTTTATGTCCACATGTACCGTCGTCATTCTCCTGAACCCCGCTCCTTGCCGTTTTCTGTTCCTGTTTTCCAGTGATAGGAATGTAACATCTTTCTCTAGCCGAACACCTTTATTTTGCACCAATACTTTCCTTTCTCTTCCAGGTGGCTTTTTCTTCGCAAAACCCATGAGAGAGAACAAGTATGTGACCATGATGGACCCTTTCCAGAAGAAGTATGGCAACTTCCTGAGCAGTGTTCTGATCCTTCCTGCATTGATCGCCGATGTACTGTGGGTGTCACGCACACTTGTCAGCCTGGGTGAGTTCCTTCGTACTGTCGAAGTGCGTGTGGGACACAATATGTGTGCATGCACCTTGCAGCCATCAACATGTAGGCACACAATGAGTGCAATCCTTATTTGATGAGGCATACCACTGATGTAGTGGGCACTCAAATGTCCATGATGGGGTGTTTACAGGAGTGTTTACTCCTGCACTTATTGAAACGTTACCCTCAGGACTAAATTATGAGTATTTACACTCCTGAAAAGCTGTGAAGTCCTTGTACTGGTGCGTGGTGAGGGGTGGGGGCCCCTTGGCCCAAAGTAAGTCAAGGACAGCTATTCAGTTATATGAGCAAGGCATGCGTACATGCTCTTGCTGTCAACTGAGAATGCCATGCCACGTAAATGCTTAAATATACAGTGCATAAACAACGCACGCGTGTTGTCGCCAAGCTCAGTACTTGGTAAAAGTTTGGGATCATTTAGAAAAGCCGATGTTCGTAAAAGAAAAGTACTTTTATATTGAAAGTGCTTTGCACTCATTTATTTTGACAACTCATTTGGAGTGACACCAGTGTGAACTTTGTTTGTTACACAAAGCAATGTTCCAGTGCGATCAATAAAACTACTGGTAGTGTTTTCGTGACAGTCAAAGACATTTCAACGTGACGGTTATGTACAGCAACAACACAACTAACTGAAAAGTGACGATCACTTAAGATAAGAGGACATGTGGCGGTCTGGGCAGCTTTGTTGCCGACAGTCAGCTACTATTCTGTCCACTGATTTGGAGGTAGCGACCATATTTCAACTATGTTGTCAAACATGGAATGAACTCGAAATTGATTCAACAAAACAAAGCTCAAGATGATCCAGTCCATGAGGGGTACCCAGGTCCAGTCCTCGAGAGCCCCTCGATGTCACCCTGTATCCAGCACACCTGATTGATCATTCTCAGGCTTCTGGAAGCTTGATGATGAGCTGATTATTTGAGTGCAGTGTGCTGGAACAGGGGGGCATCTAAAACCGGCTGCATAAGGGCTCTGGAGGACCGGACTTTGGGCACCTTTGCTTTCCATTCATGACCTCATAATTTTTTTATTTTTAATCATATTTATGAGCGATCCCAAACTGTTATGGGCAAGCATTAGCTAATGCCCCATATGATGAATTGATAGATTTTTTTTAAAATTCAAATTGTTATTTTATTGTTTCTTCATAAGTTACATGATTTTGTACTGTAATTCCTGCTGCTTTATTCGGTATGCTTTTAGGGGTGTCCCGATTCGGTATGGACATCGGTTCGATATTGGCCAAAAATACAGTCTCAAATTGGTCTACATCCAAAATCTCACATATTGGTCCATTTCCGACTCTGTTGTCCCCATGAACTGAATGCGTAATTCTGAATGTACTGAAGTAGACTTGAATTGTTATTTTGCACACAGAGAGTACAATTTGTGTTGAGGGACTTTATTAGGGCTACTTCTCAATATCCTTTACTGTATTTTACTTTATTTTGCTTTTATGTCAGTTAAGAGCAGTACATTGAATTGATGTAACCCAAATGCTTGATATAAGTTGGTCCTATTTTCTCATGCCTGTCATTGCTGAATGTTGTTCAAATGGTGTCACTTGATCAAGTCTCTTACACTAAACGCTACAAAATAAATACAAGCTTCTATCATTCTCGTATCGGATCGATCTCGGCATGAAAAAGTTGTATCGGGACACCCCCAGGATGCTTTACGTTGCCATGTGTATCCATGTGTGCGTTATGCTGGCTGTGAGTGCAATGTTGTGCAGTGTGAGTGCGTATGTCATGTTTTTGCGTGTGTGTTTTAATGCTGTCTTCTTTTCCAGTGGTATTTGAAAAGGGGGGTTAAACATCGAGCAGCCTGTTGATTGTGAAAGGTGATCAATTATTCAAACCAGGTTGTTCATATCATGAGAGACTTTTCTATTCTTTGACCGGTTCAATGCTACGTGCCTTTACATCACTTCATGTGTCTGTAATGTTTCTAAATGTGAAATCTGTGTTTGAGTCAGCATGGTAGTGCTGTAGACTATGCGGACACGCCACAAAAGCAATGTTTGTGAGACTTTTTTTTTCCAAACCAATTGAACCAATTTCGCCGCTGAAGACACCCACAGACACAAAAGCAGATGCTCACATAGCAATAGAGTGGACCACCGCATACCTGCAGATTCACTTACAGTATTTGGAGATTTATTTATTTTTTCTAACCAACCGCCTTGTTTTTTATTGAAAATGATGATTGTTGGTAGTTGCCCGCTTATTCAAGATGTTTTTTTTCTTCAATACAATTGAATGTGCTCATCTTTTATTGTAAATCTTAACTGTGCATCTGATGTACACTCTTAAGCATCATTTGTCTGCCTACTGCGTTGCGGTTGAATATGAGAAAGTTTTTACATTAGGGCGGGCTTCATATGTCGTCAGGCATCATTCAGGATCAACAGCACAAAGCCACCATCAAATTTCTGGAGGGAAGGAAATTGATATTGAAATTGATCAATGGTGTATATTGTGTGTGTGTGTGTGTGTGTGTGTGTGTCTGTGTATGCGTGTTTCTTCAGACACTCAGTGTGTATCCGGGTAGGCAGAGGATCTAAAAACAACGTGGGAGCATATAGCAGCCTGTTTTCTCTGGCCTACCCGAGTGCAGCCCGTGGGGCCAAAGAGGCGCCGATTCTCATTCCACCTCCTATTTTTTTGGATCCTAAATTTAGCGCGGTGGCAAAGGGCACAGCTCAACACACAAGAGATAAGGGATATGCCACTAGAACCGTAAAGCATACCAAGCAGGAGTGCTTTATGATTCAGTCAATGTTATGTCATGGCGAGCCATACGGTAGCTTCGGTAATAAAAGCGACGGCGTGCTTGCGTGGTGCAAACGTATCCAAAGAGATTAAGTTCACAGCTGGAATCAGAATAGAACGTCACATTGCTTCCTGAATATACATTCAAGACTGTTGGCAATAAAAAATAATGCATTATGGCATTGACAGTTATATAAAATTGAACGGGGCCACACAGATTCCTTCATTTGAAAAGTTTTTCATGCAAGATTCTCTAAAATCCTTCTAAAAACTAATGAGAAGACCTTTTTTTTTTCTTCCCACATTTTAGTATCTACCTGTACCTCAGCACCCTGCAAAAGACCATTCTTGTGGGACATTTTGTCCCTAAAAACTGCAGACATTCACCATAGGGCTGTACGGAGCCCTGAAGGGGACATGGGAGGAAAAAAAAAAAATTTGCGAGATCTCGCAAATTTATTTTTTTTTCCTCCCATGTCCCCTTAGGGGCTCCGTAGGGTTGTTTTATTTGTACATTATGAATTCTTAAATCGAATCGCAACAAAGAATTTGCAGTGAGACTGAGGAATTGTGTGTGCGTGTATGTGTGTGTTAAAGCAAAGAGGTGGCAGTGGCATTTTGGAGATTTGTCACCCAAGCGTTTCATTTGATGTCACTCACCAGGCGTGAATGCGGAGGCCACAGTGTCTTGCGCTTTCACACTGAGCTCACTCAGCACATTTTGGCATTTGAGTGAACAGATCGTTGACGACTAGTCAAAGTTATGTAAACGTTAGTAGGTAAGGGGTCCCGTAGGCTTTTAATGACTAATATGACTAATACATGAAGTGGGGAGAGAAGAAGCGTGAACGAACCAAACCGTAGCAGTCAAAGTAACCATTGAACCCAAAGAAGTGAGAAAGTGGTTTTTCAAAAAAGTTTGTTGGAGTGAGTTAGGGGTGGGCATGGTAGGTCAGATGGGTTATAAGTGGCGATAGATGGTGCAGATCTGACCCTTCTCTGTTTAAGGACATTGTTGTGGTGTGGCTGCAGGCTACGGCTGGGGGGACCCTGGCAATATGGGAGAAGAGACAGTAAAGGTAGTGACGTTTTGCTTGCCTTGTTTGAGTAACAAGATGTGTTTTTTTTTTTTAAGTTCACATATTTACTGTACATTTACTTATTCTTTACACTTTCAGTTGTTTCACTACATGAACATTTTTTTTTTCTTTTAATGATCAGTGTCGACTGTTAAGGGTTTATGGAGTCACAATCAATAGGCTGCTTCTCTTCTTTTTGGTTCTGTTTTTAATCTCGTTGCTTTATGTCTGCTTGTTATGCTTTAGGATGTGTTTTTAAGATGTTTAATACAACACTTTATCTGCCCACGTGTAACCTTATTGACCTAGATGACAAGTAACCGCATTGCTATGTTAGGCAATTGTATTATGCGGTTGTTGTTTTTCAGGATATGAATTAAATAACAAGCCCAAACAAATATGTAATACATGGCTCATTAAAAGTGGATGCATGTATATGCGTGTCTGTATGTCTGTGAGAGAAAAAAAAATTAAAAGCAAAAGACAGGTTGAGAACATAAAAAGTAACTTAAACCGGCCACAAAAATACAGTATGTTGCATGTGTCTCCAGTGTTGGATGTATGTGCAAATGTTGTCCCAGCCGTTGCCTGCTGTTCATCACAATGCTGTTTTCTTCCAGGGGGAACTATGAGTGTGATCCTGGACCTTTCTTACGTCTATTCAATTGTCATCTCCGCCGTCGTTGCCGTTGTCTACACGCTCCTGGGAGGGCTTTACTCTGTGGCTTACACAGATGTGATCCAGCTCACCCTCATCTTTATCAGCCTGGTACGTCAATATATATTTACCCCATGACAGCCAGCAAGTCAGAACACCTTTCCGATCAGTATTCCATCAGAAATGAAACAAAACCCCAAATTCCTATTTTTTTCGTTAACACAGCATATATGTCAGGCCTACGCCGAATCTATTGCCTTCCAAAAGGGGTGAGACATAGAGCTGAGTGATTACATGATCAGACCATTGTCCATCCATCCATCCATTTTCCGATCCGATTTATCCTCACTAGGGTCGCGGTGGGTGCTGGAGCCTATCCCAGCTGTCTTCGGGAGGTAGGCGGGGGGCACCCTGAACCATTTGCCAGCCAATTGCATATAGCAACCGTTGGTTGCTGTAACTCGTTATAACGACCATGTATGCATACACTCATACCGAGGGAAAATTTAGAGCGTTCAATCAGCCTGCCATGCATGTTTTTTGGAATTTGGGAGGAAACCGGAGTCCCTGGAGAAAACCCACGCAGGCACAGGGAGAACATGCAAACTCCACACAGGAAGGTCGGAGTTGGAATTGAACCTCTGCACTGTGGGGTCGGCGCGCTAACCACTCAACCACCAGGCCGCCCTCTTTCTTTTCATTTATTTATTTGTTTATTTTTGCAAAGCTTGGTTTCATGGGTGCAGCCATCTTGGAAAAGGGAGTTTGCAGAGTGTTGCACTGATGAATCAAGAACAGTGCTTACTATGGATGTTCTTGCTTCGTTTCTGAATTTGATGCGATGTAAACTGCATTAGCCTGCTGTGTTCTCTTAGCTAAGTTCTCAGTGGCTTAAATCAGGTCCATATTCCACTTTGGAAGGTAATTGTCGACAGGGTGGGGTCTAGTGTTGGGGTTTGCTGCGAGTTGGAAACACCAGTATTGTAGAATATATATATATATATACCATGCCATACCCTATAAATGAGGCAATATTTATTTCTCTTATCGTGTGCAAACACACACACACACACACACACACACACACACACACACACTATTCTACAATACTGGTGTTTCCAGTATATACATGTATATGTATAGGGTGGCCCGGTAGTCCAGTGGTTAGCACGTCAACTTCACAGTGCAGAGTTACCGGGTTCAATTCCAGCTCCGGCCTCCCTGTGTGGAGTTTGCATGTTCTCTCCGGGCCTGCGTGGGTTTTCTCCGGGTGCTCCGGTTTCCTCCAATTTTCAAAAACATGCATGGCAAGCTGATTGAACACTCTGTGTAAGTGTGGGCATGGATGGTTTTTCGTCTCTGTGTGCCCTGCGATTGGCTGGCAACCAGTTCAGGGTGTCCCCCGCCTACTGCCCGAAGACAGCTGGGATAGGCTCCAGCACCCCCCGGGACCCTAGTGAGGGTAAAGTGGTCTGGAAAATGAATGACTAAATGAATGTATATATATATATATGTATGTATGGGCGCCTTTCGTATGGCCAAGAGAAGCTCTGTTTAGATTCCTAGTTTCAAGGCAGACTGGAAACATCCTGAACTGAGTGCATCATGAAATCAGCTGAGCTTTGTGTTTGTGTACACAGTGGGTGTGTGTCCCTTTCCTGTTGACCAACCCTCACTCTGTGGACATCTCACTGACGGCCTACAACCAAACCTTCCAGGCTCCTTGGGTTGGCAAGGTGGAGCTTAATGAAGCCGGCAAGTGGTTTGACGACTTCATGCTGCTGGTTAGTCGAGGAACGCTTTATAAATACACGCAGGATCGTAAAAATATCGCTTGCGACACTCTGCTCAGTTTTAGGGCTCTTGCCTCAAAGGGAGCCTCAAATAGAATCGATGCCAGCTGTTAATTTCCTTAGGTGTGAAAATGACAGCGATGATATCTTAAGAGGTTGACTATGTATGTGACAGGCTCTCGGTGGTTTGGCCTACCAAGCGTTCTACCAGAGGATCCTGTCTGCCTCATCGTACAAGCAGGCTCAATTTACCTGCTTTATCTCCTCCTCCTTTTGCCTGGTGCTGGGTATCCCCTCAGTGCTGGTGGGAGCTGTGGCTGCATCTACTGGTACATTCCACTCTTAATTGCAGGACTTGTGGCGTCAAGACAATTAGGCCTTTTCTATTTGCAACGCTTCCTCATTCCTAATCGCTTCTCCTTCTCTAACCGTTCCATAGATTGGAACTCGACAACCTATGGACTGCCAACTCCATATGATCGCGGGGAAGTAGGATCAATCCTCCCCATCGCCCTGCAGTACCTCACACCCACCTACGTGTCTATCATCGGGATCGGAGCTGTAGCCGGTGCTGTCATGTCCTCCATGGACTCAGCCCTGCTGTCCTCTGCATCATTGTTCTCCTCCAATATCTACAAGAACATCATTCGGAAGCAGGTGAGAATGTCAATGATAATGTGCGCTGACATACAGGTGGAATTATTGGCGTTTGAAGTGAGTAGAAGACTATCAAGAGGCCCCGTATACACATATGTGACTCCAAAAAAATGTTGTTTTTTTTTCATGAATGAACCATTTGGTTCATTAAAATAAAGTAACAGTTATCATGTCTTGTCTTGGCCAGGACGGGGAAGAAAAAACACCACCAACTGTAAATTGATCGATGCAAAAATGTATGAATCGAAACTATAATGAATCATTTTAAAAGCATAGTTGCAATTTCTGGAGCGAATGTTAATTCTTTCCCCACAGACATCGGTTGCTGCAGACAGAAGTATGTTGTACTCTTACAGCAACTGAATTACGTATCGATGCATGATGCCCATCTGTTGGCCATTAATGACCATGAAGGCCACTTGTGATTGTGAAGGACACAAGACCCTGGCTTGTCTGAAACGGAATCGATATTAAACACTTGTTTAACCTATCAATCAGTTTGCAGTCGCATGCTTACTGTATTTTCTTGAGGTTCTCTACAATAAAGCTCTCGTGAAAAATGAAGATCCTGGTTAAAAATAGCCCTTTGAGTAACTCGTACTATAAGTTCACAACATTCATGAAATTAAACGACAAGAGAAGTTCATATGATATGTCCCTGCATGTTACTCTTCTGTCGTATGTCGACTGAGTCTTTGGCCTGGCCTCCAGGCAACATCAGCTGCTCCTTCCTTCATTCAAAAGCACCATTTTGAAACACTGTCTGTCTCTCTCATCTCAGGCATCGGACCGCGAGATGCAGTGGGTGATCCGGATCTCGGTGGTCGTTGTCGGTCTGGCTGGCACTGGCCTCACCTTCTTGGACAGCAGCGTGCTGGTCTTCTGGCTGGTGGGTGTGGACATGTCCTACACCATTATGTTCCCTCAGCTGGTCTGCGTCCTCTTCTTCAAGGCGTCAAATGGCTACGGGGCCACCGTGGGCTTCCTAATGGGAATCACTCTGAGAATCATGAGCGGCGAGCCCCTCGTCAGCCTGCCGCCCATCATCCGCTTCCCCAACTGCCGGCTGAATGCCGAGGGCAAGCTTACTCAGTACTTCCCCTTCCGCACTGTGATCATGCTCAGCTCACTGGTCAGCATCGTCGTCGTGTCTTGGCTGTTGTCTTTGGCTTTCGACAACGGTCTTTTGCCTGAGAAGTGGGATGTGTACAAGGTCAAGAAGCGCAAGCTGAGCAAACTTGTCGAAGAGAAGACCACTGAAGAAAACGAAGAGATGCTCGCATCCAAGCGGCAACTGGACACCAGCTGCTGAGGGGCCTCTCAGGCAAAAGATGGGCCGCGATGGGAGAGGCAGACACACTCGCCTGCTCGACGGGGGTTCGCCGAGGGCCGTTAACAGGAGTGGCTTCATGTTTTCAATCGAATCTGGTCAGAATCTCGGACTTTGTGTCACATACCGAACAGCCCAACATCGGCAATATGTCCCCTGAGTCCCCCTAGCACCCATCTTTGTTATCAGCTTCCTTCTACAATCAAATAACCATAAAAAAATGTCAACTTAACTTGTGTTATGATAGTTAACTACCCATTAACCAGTGTAGCATACAATGTGATTCATTAAAAACATCCAATGACAGAGTCTTCTTATCAGCTAATCACACATCTTTGCAATGGACAGAAGGAGCGCAGCCTTTTCAAATCATTTCCATGTGGAAAAGAAAGGAGGATGGCATTGATCAATTGTTTTTGTTTAATGGATCTTGGATTTGTACAGATTTGTAGAAATATATTTTATCACACCAGCAAAAAGATGTTCCTTTTTGGATGCAAACGTAGTCCCTTGACTCAAGTGCGTATGCAACACATCTGCACAAGAAAGGAAAGGAATATTCAGTCCAACTGAAGACCGGTGAGCTACTCTGTAACTCCCTTTTCACTGATATGTCACAGTCCTACGGCATCTACAGATTGTTTTTCTCGCAACGCATTGTCACTCCAGAAACAAGCTGCAAAAGGCAATCATGACATCAATTACTCCGATTCAGCACAGTTTGGTTGTGGTGTTGACCGCACTTCAGTGCGTAGCAATTTCATGTATGCTTGTAGAATACTCTCCATCCTGTGAACAACCTTCTCATCGTTTCAGCACGTTGCATTGTAGCCATGTCGGTATAAAATGGAAAGGTACACTGTTTAAAAAGAAACTGACAACTGTTCTTCGTTGATAACCAACAACCAGGTAATATGTGTGAAGATGCCCATAATGTGAAGACATTCTCAAGCAAAAATACTGTACTGTCGACAGAGCCGAGCCAGTTAGAAACCGCCCATCATTTGTGAATATGCCCATAATGTGAATAAATCATTCTCAAGCAGAAGTACTCTCGACAGAGCCGAGCCATTTAGAAATGACGGTATCCTTCTGAGCCTCCAAACATTTTCTTGTATAAGGCACTAGCATGTGTGACAATCTAACCTACAATTTACTTAAATATCACTGGAAACTGATCTGCCTCGCCTGTTACGGTTTATTTTGATTGATGCTGTCGAATGGGTGTGTATGGAAGACCTTGTATAGTGGGCGCAAGAGCTGAGCACATGTTTCTGAATGCCATTTTAAACGATTTGTCAGGTGGCCAAAATCTGTTTTCCAAAGACTTGTTGTTGAAATAAAACCGAACTCATTGCATGCGTCTTTTTGAATAGATGTGAGTTCTAAATGTTTCATACTCTTGTACAGCCTGATCACAATTTGTACATTGATTCTTATTTTTATATCAAAGTGGCTTGCCATGCGTTGTTAGTTTTAGAGGAAAGGCACAAATGTGTATTTGTATGATCTCAAGTGAACAATGAATTAAAAAAAATCGCCCTCGGTTTTGCTGAATAATGAATGTCGACCTGGTATCACTTTATGTTCGGATTGGCCTGCACTTTCTTAGCAGCGTTACGTGTCGGAACGGTCACAATGAAGACTGCTGCCCAAAAGCACTACATGCAGTCCTTACCAACGGACAAGTATGCCTTAATCGTGGAGTTTTTGTCTGGCATTTTTTGGATCACTTTTGGGGCAGTAATATATTTCTAATGATGTGGTTTTCCAAAGGTCGTCTGTTAACATCCTTGACTGGTATTAGTTTTATTATAATAATAGTGAGCTCCATTTTATTTCTCCCTCCTTGTCTATGTGGTTTTATACTATTATGCATGTCAGTAACTATGTATGCTGAACTTTCGTGAAGGCTGTTCTCTCTTGCCACTTGGCAAGGTCCTGCGTTGTAATCAATGAATATAAATCCCCATGGGGTGAGCTCTCAGAATAAAAGCTGATCTAAAAAAAAAAGAATACTGGCTATGTTGCTTTCGTTGACATGACTGCAAGACAATTGCTTTGGGAGATGGAAACGAAGGTGGAGAAGTAAATTGGCTGAAAAAAAGTAATATAATAGAGGATGGGAAAACATTTCCAGGTTTTATCAAATCAGGTGTTGTGGTAGAGATTATCCACTTTATGCAGGGTGTCACCTCCACCCCCCCAAAAAATTGATTACAGTGCCTGAATTACTGCATGTCCTTGGCAAACAAAATGAAATTCTTCATGTCTTGTCATGTTGTACAAAAAAAAAAAAAAAAGATTCAAAAGTCCACATTTTTCAAGTAGCTATTCAATAGACTGCACCTGATTTTATAATGCTCCGCAAATGGCCGATATGCACGCTGCATGTGACATACCACACATTTGACGCTTTTTCCTCTTGAAATTTCTCATGGTTATCATGATGTTTATTTTTCATATAAAAACACAGCAATAGCACTTTAGTGGTGGCAAGTCAACCTTGTGCTCTTAAATTTACATACCCTCAGGGTATGCAATGTAAACAACAATTAAGACAACAGTCCATAAGAACAATTTAAAAACAATGCCATTTTTTAAAATACTGTATTTGAGTTAGACAGTGAAGTGAAGGAAAAAAAAAAACTGGTCGCCAGTCAGTCGCAGGGCACATTTCGGGACAAACAGCCATTCATGCCCACAGCCACACGAGCACTGAGTGGGAACCGATGCCTCGCTGCCCCCCACAAATGTCAGGCAAGTGTGCCATCAGTGACTTTGGAATCTAATAATTATATTTAAAAAATATTCATGCTTTTATTAGGTAAATAGTTTTGCGGGTGAAATGCATAAGTCAGATTTATACTCGCCGTTGCGCCATGATGTACTGTCCTTTCTGATGTTGGAAAAGAAGCACCTACTCATCTCTCTTCGACCGGATGACATAATCCAACAAAGTCCCAAAAGCGCTTTCAAAATTAAATGTATTATTATTGTTATTATTGTTATTATTAAAGGTGAAGGAAAGGTGCCATTAAGGTGGGAGAGATGACTTTCCAAAGAGACCCTGAGTCTCCCTCCACAGCTGGAAATGGTCACGATGTGCGTCCAGACTTCAGAGGAATAGCGTTTACGCAAAGGCGCCTCGGGCTAATTTAACCAATTTGTGCCGTCACATTTTGGCAAAATTCTTCCAGAATCAGGCAGATACATGAAGATTGACTTGATTGTTTAAGTGTAAAATGAAATGCAGGCACTCAACCCAACTATTTCTATCCATACAATCAAAAGTTATTTTTCCATTCTAACTGTTGACACAGACCACTGAAATTGAACTTCTGTTGCTTCTGAACCACTGAAGTGACTTGGAGGCTGACCATCAGCTATGCCGGGTGGCCTCTGTGCCTCATTTGCATATAGAACATTCTGCAGTTGACTGATAAAACAGGACGCTGCTTGTCTTCTTTAGCTCTTGTCAAACTCAGATTTCCATCTGACCAATACAGTCCAAAACATGTTCCAGAAGAAGATAAAAGCACCAAATCTAACACACGTTTCGAGAGGAGATGGCAAAGAAAGCAAAACCGCATATAATCGCACTTAAATAAAATCGCTAATAATACACTGTGAATGAAGTTAGCACAGGGCAAGCTCAGCAGCTGCTTTATTTTGCATGGACTTCAAGGAGGAGGTTAAAGTGGAGAAAGACAGCTCTTACTTTGCTTTCATTCTATTTATAAGAGGTGGATGCAATCAACAAACGCCTCAAATAAAGAGAAGCAGGCTCAAGTTTCACAGCATCTGCTGCTGCTGCTCTCCAGCTTGTATCAGGCGGCCTCAGTGACGATATTTCCTTCTAAAGGAATTGTCACACGATATCAGTCGACGGATTCATTCTAGGTACAATTGTGGGTTTGAATGAATTTTAAAATCAACGCTACCGTTATGAGCCGAATTATTTCGAACTTGGCTAACTATGGAGTGAAAGCGCATTTGAATTTGCCACCGAGATTTATTTGAGCTGGAAATGACATAAGAACATTTTGAAAAGATATCTCGTCATACATTTTCTATCGTGCTTGTCTTTTCATTAGGTCTGGTCAATTAGGTAATATAGACAAATGCCAAGGGCGCTGCGGCTTTCCGGGGCACCATTTTCAAGTTGCGGGCCAACTGGAACCTATCCCAGTGAAAGAGAGGGGGGTGGGGGGGGGGGAACAGCCTGGACTGGTGATCAGCCAATCACATGGCACAAATAGATACACACCCATTCAAACTCAGATTTACACCTATGCACAATTGAGGCTTCTGAGTGTGTGAGAAAGCTGGCGCAAGCACAGGGAGAACATGCAAACTCCACACAGAAAACCCAATCCCAAAATTGAACCCGGCGGGCCTCTGGAATGAGAGGCTGACGTGATCACGACTTTGCCACTGCCCTGTCAAAATGTATTTCAATAACCGGTCTAACTGCACCGAATGGTACTGACACCAAAATGTGAAGATGATTCCAGTAAAAGTAATGAACGTGATTTCTGTGGTCCAGGCGACGAGGATTCATTTCCCACCCAGTGATGGTAGTAGTGTGAATGGTTTTCTGTGTCTATATGGAAAGAGGAATCAGCTTTATTGTCCTCAGCATGAACACATGTTGTACATGTTCATAAACGCTGTCCTTAGCTTTTAACCGTTGACAAGAGCGAACACAGCAAATATGCTTCGTGGCCCGGGGGACACCGACTAAGCACCTGGACAGACGTTCAGGGTAATTGTGTCTTGCTCAAGGACACCACAGCCATGGAGGGCGGGAGGGATGGTTGTCCATTGCCGTATCCTCTCCAGCTGATATCAGTGTCCACACTTGTTGAGCGTTAAGTTTTTTTTTTTTTTTGGTCCACATTCTTCTGCCAGTCGATGACTTGAAGCAGGCTCCACATGGCCGCAGGTGGCCCGGTGGCCTATGATTGACCAGTTCAGTGTTTAGTCTGCCTTGCGCCCAAAAATCACCTCAAGCATATTGGGGGATAGATGAGGAACACTGGGTTAGGCCGGGGGTCGGCAGCACGCAGCTCCAGAGCCGCATGCGGCCCTTTAGCGATATCTAGTGGCTCCCTGGAGCTTTATAAAAAGATGTTTGAAAATGGAAAAAGATTTTGATAGGAGGTCTAATATAGCTCAAATAGATATGGATACATGTTGCAGCGCCGAAAAAAAGGAGATCTGTGGTGTTTTTTTTTTTAAAATGTACACTTTATTTATGCTTTTAGTCTCGACAAACACAGACACATCTGCGTCCGACTCCGTGCTTTCTCTCTTCTCATTCGACTCGAGAGGTGTTCAAAGACAGCCTCCGAAAAACGGAAATTAATGATCACCTCACTGACACTAAGAAAAGTGAAAATAATGCACCAAAACAAAAAACAAGCGAGGAAATCACAAAATAAATTCTATGGGGGCATTTGTGAACACACAACAAAGGAATGAATAACATAAACAATTCTGAGACAGTCCAGTCTCCTACATACATACAGCATGTGTTTCCTTCATTGTAAGTTTTATAGAAGGCTTTTATTTTTTTGCAGCTCCAGACATATTTGTTTTTTGTTTTTTTGTCCTATATGTCTCTTTCAACATTTTGGGTTGCCGACCCCTGGGTTAGGCTTTGTATAGTTTACGTCGGTAGCCAGACATTTACGTAAATTGGTCAGAAGTGTACATCAGTCCCCACCCCAGAGGGTAGAGGCCATGCATGTAACATGCACTTGTGACACAAAAAAAATGTCTGCTCAGCACATGAAAGGCGGAGCATCTTTCCTAAATGATGCCCATGTCTGAGATTATTTCGCCTAATACTTTCTCCTTTCTCACTTTATTTTCTCAGACCACTCACAAGAAAAGAACAAAACAGCCACCATAAGGTGCATTACAATCAATACCTTTTCGACGCACATTGGCGCAGACTGTTCCGAGACATGCTTTTTTGCCACTTGACTGCATGGAAATTCATGAGCACACATGTTGTTATGGAATATGTTTTCAAACCGAGTGGGAGGTATTATTTTCATTTACATATCATATCAGCAAGTTTCCCTCCCACACAGTTCTAGGACTCTGGGTTTGAATCTTGCCGTTTACCCTGTGGTTATCTCTCTGTACTCGAACTTCCTCCCACAGTCCCAAAAACATGCATCAGTTATGTGCACAATTGTCTCTATGTGTGAATGTGAGTGTGAGTTGTTGTGTGTCCTGCGATTAGCTACAGGGAATAGTCCAGAGCAGGGGTGGCCAACCCGCGGCTCGCG